GTTGGTTCACAATTGCCTTTAACTCTATCCTAGGGTGATCTGAAGTCTCTGGCTTCTGCAGGCAACTTCACTTACCTGTACACACCCACCACCACCACTACCCACCCACAATTAAGAAATAAAATTAACTCTTGGGAGGCAGTAGCAGGTGGATGTCTGAGTTCAAACCAGCCTGTTCTATAGAGCAAGTTCCAGTACAGCCAGGACTACACAGAGAAATCCTATCTTGAAGAGACAAAAACAACCAAACCAAACAGAAAACTAATTAATCAAACCCTCACAAAATAGTTTAGGAATATCATTCCTACAAAAATAAGTTTATCCTAGCCCTGGCATTGGTGGTGCACGCCTTTACTTCCAGCACTCGGGAGGCACAGGCAGACCGATCTCTGAGTTCAAGGCCAGCCTGGTCTAAAGAGCTGGTTCCAGGACAGCCTCCAAAGCAATACAGAGAAACCCTGTCTCAAACCGCCCCCCTCAAAGTTTATCCTAAATACAACCAAGCCTTTATATTTTACTTCTAATTTCCAGGAGATATGAGCTTTGAAGCAAATGTAAATGATATCATGAGGATACAATTGAAGTCCCGATGTGGAAAAATTCTATATCCTCTCTCTCTGTCTGTCTCTCTCCCCCTCTCTGAAACAGGGTCCCACAGTAGCCCAGGCTGTCCTTGAACTTGCAGCAATCCTCCTGTCTCATCCTTCTAGTGCTGGAATTATGGGCATGAGCTATCATTCTTGATATTATAATATCATTCCTTTGGCAAATAAACTTTAAACAAATGATGAGAAAGAAAAAAGACAAACTGAAAAAATGTAAGCTACAGGCAACTTTTTGTGCATAAAAACAAGTGAGAGTAGAGTACATATTTATTAATCAAGTTCAAAGTGTGTTGTATTTGGGTCCCAATTCAGATAAATGAACTATAAAAAGTGTTTTTGGAAATTACTGACATAAAAGACCATGGATTGATAGTAAATGCTATTAAAACTTTAGACAGATCATATAAAGATGTGATAAAGCCAGGCAGTGATGATACAGCCTTAAACACATAAAAGGATGGTAAAATGTTTGGTAGACGCGGTAGAACAAGCCTGTAATCCCAGAATTTAGGATTTGGAGACAGGAGGATTAGGAATTAAGGACTAGCCTTAGCTACATAGAGTGTCTGTTTGAGGTCAGCCTGGGATATGTGAGACCTTGTTTCAGGTCTCCCTCCACCACAAAAAAGTTGTAAACAAGTAAAGTTGGATGGCAGGCACAGAGATTATTATTCTATAGTAATTCAATTGTATCCATCCGTTTGAAGTTTCCCTTAAAAATACCATGGGAGGGCTCAAATCTCTTTTTATTTCTATGTATGAAATAACTAGGTAGCAGAGAACATTTGTGTGTGTGTGTGTGTGTGTGTGTGTGTGTGTGTGTGTGTGTGTGTGTGTAGGTGTGTCCTGGTAATTGATTTAGATTTTGCATGTACTCTATTATAGGGTTATAGTCCCAGGCTCTGGGAGAAAACATTCTTTTTGTTTGTTTGTTTGTTCGTTCGTGTTTTCTCTTTTTTAAAAATTATTTCTTTATTTTTATGTCATGCGCATTCATATTTTGCCTGCATAAAATCATTAGGTCCCCTGAAACTGGAATTACAGGCAGTTATGAGCTGTCATGGGTGCTGGGAATTGAACTTGGCTCCTCTGGAAGAACAGCCAGTGCTCTTAACTGCTGAGCCATGTCTCCAGCCCAGAGAAAACATTCTTATGGTTACAATCTCTTGCTGAAACAGATCAGAATTAGAGGGACATATATTTTAAATGCTGGGTGGAGGAAGAGAGAGGGGCCCTGTCGGGAAAGGAAGACAGAACTTATTATTATTGTCATTATTATTGTTTTTTTAAGACAGGGTTCCTCTGCATAGCCCTGGCTGTCATGGAATTCACTCTGTAGACCAAGGTTGACCTCAAATTCACAGAGATGCTCCTGCCTCTGCTTCCCAAATGATGAATTAAAGGTGTGCCTGCCACCCCTGCCAGTGAAAGCTGGTTTTTGAGGGGTGTTGAAAAGTCAAGGAGGCATAGTTTCAAGCTATGTCAAATGTTGTAGATTACAGGAAGGAAAGGATTAAATGACTTCACTAGATATAGCAACCAAGGTCAAATATGATCAAGTTTCAGTGGCGGTACAAGATTAATAAGTTACCCAAAAAAGACAGGTCATGAAGAGGAAGGGGAGATGAAGATAGTTTCTGCTCCCCATGCTTATGGAGAAACTAGTGCATGTGTTTTATCCTGAGAGGAAGTTGTCATCTGAGAGTGGATGAGGGCATAGGCAGAAAGAGGAATCAGTGACTCATAGAACAGGAGTATGAGGACAAGGCACATGCACCTCCTCTGAGGCAGATGGCTTGTTTTTCTGACACTGATTAATTTATTTCCAAAGTTTACTGAAATTTTGAAATCTTCCAATTAAATTATGCTATTATTTTCAAAGTAAAGTTTTGCTCATAAAGCTAGCAGGACAGTCAGGAGGCAGAGTTATGCAGATCTCTGTGAGTTTGAGGCCAGCCTGGCCTCCACTTTTAAAAGGAATATTTATTATTCTATGTGGGTGTAAGATGCCACAAGGAGCCACCATGCAGGAACCACTATGCATGCCTCTCTACTCAAAAAACATTATTCGTATGTGGGTGCATGTAGATATGAATACTACAGTGCAGAGGTGTGAAGGTCAGAGCAGAACTTTGTGGAATCAGTGCTCTCCTTCTACCTGTATTTGAGTCCCAGAGATTTGACTCAGATAATCAGATTTTCAAGGCAAGATCTTTTACCCACTGAACCATCTTGCTAACCCTTTACCTTATCTCACCTCCCTTTGTTATATTTATTTATTTTACATCCTGATTAAAGATGGAAGTTTCACCTCCCTCCTTTCCTTCTAGTCCCTCACTTTAATTTTTGAGACAAAATCTCTCACTAACCATTGAATTTGTCCTATTTGGCTGGACTGGCTGCTTATGAGTCCCTGGCACCCTCTTATCTCTATCTCTCCAATATGGGGATTATAGGTGCATACCCTGTGGGTGCTGGGCATCGGAACTAATGACCTCTTGCTTGTGTGGCGAGCACTTTATGAGCCGGGTCATCTCCCGAGCCCCAGCACATGTTTTCTCAGATGACTTTACGCATTCTTTTTGTGTTTTTCTTGAAGACTTTTATATAACCCAGATTGGCTCAAACTCTTTATGACAAGATAACCTTCACTGATTCTCCTGCCTGCACACCAAACACCAAATGCTTTGAGAACTACAGTCATGGACCATCACACTAGGAAAACAAAACGAAACACACTCAAAGCTGAGCGGTGGTGGTGCACGCCTTTAATCCCAGCACTTGGGAGGCAGAGGCAGGCCGATCTCTGTGAGTTCGTGACCAGCCTGGTCTACAAGAGCTAGTTCCAGGCAGCCTCTAAAGCCATAGAGAAACCCTTTCTCGAAAAACCAAAAACAAAGAAACAAACAACAAAACCCCAACCTCCCCCCCACCACAAATGCAGGTCCTATAGAGGGTGCCTGAGGGCATCCGATAGTATAAAGCTAGAGAGTTACAGTTGCCTATGAGCTGCCCCACATTTATTCTGGGATCTGAACTCCTGTCCTCTGTAAGAACAAGGAGTTCTTGCTCTGAACCACTCCCTTTTTCTATATACATATAAATGTGTGTGCGCAGGACCGAGTGCGCAAGTGCACATGCGCTCACATGCTGTTAATATATAGCCCAAGCTAGCCACCGACTCAGACTTGTATTTCTTGCCTCGGTCTCTTGGTGTGGTTCGAACAGATTACAGGTGTACACCATCACAACAGGTGTGCACCATCACAATATGTTCACTTGCTGGTTCCTGAATAACAATTACAGGAGGCCTGTATGGGCCTGTCCTAAATAAGGATAGCCTAAATAAGGCTATCCAGGGATAAGGAGTCCGTGACTGGAGAGACATGTGTGCATTTGTTTGTGAGCGTTTGAGGAAGAAGGGACAGGGGAAAACACTACCTGATGGGCTCCCATCCACCCACCCAGACAGACAGGGTTTTTCTGTGTAACAACCCTGGTTGTCCTGGAACTCAATTTGTAGACCAGCCTTTGGCCTCGAACTCTCAAAGATCTTTCTGCCTCTGCCTCCCAAGTGCTGGGATCAAAGGTGTGCACCACCACTGCCCAGATACTGGATGTACTTTAAAAATTGCTTCTAAGCTTACGATAAGATTTACCTCTTTTTTCAAAGCATCCTTTAGTTTGCCGCTTTTTTGTTTTGTTTTTCGAGACAGGGTCTCTGTGTAGCTTTGGAGCCTGTCCTGGAACTAGCTCTGTAGACCAGGCTGTCCTCCAACTCACAGCAGTCCACCTGCCTCAGCCTCCTGAGTGCTGGGACTAACGACTAGCTTGAATTTGTTGTTTTTATAGTGAAAAAAGTTTCTTATTCTTAATCCACAAAGTCTTTTGAAGGTGCTTTCCTTCCATCACAAATATACAGGATGGTTTATAGGCAAGTGTAACTGCCATCCCAAATTCATCTATTAGACTCGCACAAATGCAGCTACATAGTGATTATGCTGCCAAGCTTATCCCTGGATCCCACGAGGAGTCCAACTAAGGTGTGTAGGAATGAAATGTTCTACTCTTTGGAGCAAACTTTCACTTTGGCAGGATTAGTGGGAGGCTGATGTTCTGGAGGTGGGGAGAGGGAAGAAGAGCTCATCTCCCTTGGATTTCCAGGCTGAACAGCATGCACCTGACGCCCGCGTGGCGCTACCCATCAGAGAGTAGAACTGGACCAAGCCTCGCGCTCCTGGCAGTCAGGGTAACACCGCCCAGCATAAGTATTCGCGCGCTCCCGGGGGCGCGCGCTCGCGCGTACACAGTCGTGTCTCGCGCAGTGTCGGGCCTGTCAGGCAAGAAATCTCGCGAGAGCTGAGACTGAGATGTCTGTCGGGAGGAGGGGAGTGGTGTCGGGGAAGGGGGGGAACCTGGGCAGCGGCCGAGCTCTGTGGCTTCAGGGCTTGGAAGGCGAGAGGGAGGGTGGTGAAGAGAGTGGGTCGGTGCCGCCGCCCGCTTGAGGAGAGAGGAGGGGTCCCGCTCGCCTTGCGCCCTTCGTGGGCCGAGAGTGCGGAGCAGTCGCGAAACTCCCAGGCCTCTCGGCCCCCGGGGACCCCGCCCCGCCGCCCGCCGGCCCGCGGCCTCTCTTCCCTTTGTGAGCGCCCCCTTCCCAGGGGTGCTGGTGGTGGCGGAGGGGTGCGCGTGGGCCCGCCCGCCGAGGGGCCGCGGCGGGGGACCGACAGGGCCTCGGCTGTGAGGACCGGAGGCGGCCGAGGCCCGGGCCGGTTCCCCCGAGGCCGCGGCGGCGGCGGCGACTCCCGGCACTTCCCCGCGCCATCTTAACTGAGCCCGAGCGTTAAGGGCGCCTCCTCGACCCCGGTCGTCCCCTCGTCCGCCCCCCCCCCCGGCCCCTTGTCGCAGAGCTTGGGCTGGGCGGCTGGGGGGGGGCGGCGGTCTGTCGCCCGGCCCCCTCCTCCTCACTCCTCGCTCTCCAGCACCGCGGCCACCGGAGCGCTCTAGGGGTCTGCGCCTGTCTACTCCGCCCCAGACCTGCCGGCGAAGGGGTAAGGGCACCTCTGCTTTGGGAAAGGAAGACATGGAGGGGGCGGGGAAATTCGGCCCACTCAGGCCTCTCTGGGTGGAGGAAGAGATCTAGGGGTAGAGTGGGGGAGGGAGACAAGGAGGGTCTGTGATTCTGTGGGTGGGGTGAAGAAACTGGTGAGCTGGGCGCCCTCCTGTTTCTAGGGGCCAGAGCAATTGCATTCCTTTTTCCTGAGGGTCACCGGAAGAGGTGGTGGAAGGGGATGTTTCTAGGAAGGTGTGGCCCTGGTAGGGAGATTTGAGTTGACGTGCACCCCGATTTAAAGGCGCGAGGTCCCTTTCTGGTCTCCTCATCCTGCTCCTCCTCCTTTGTAGTGTCTGTATTCTTAGGCATGGAGAATGCTCCGGGTAGCCAACTGGATGACTCTCCCGTCCCCTCTCAGGAAATCTATACCTTTCTTCTGTAGGGGGTGATGGAAGCATTTCTATTCCCTTACCCTCCCCCCCCTCTGTCCTCTAGTCTACTGCAATGCTGCAAAAGTCCAAGTCAGTTTCTTCATACACAGACCCATGTATATACTGAAGGGGGAGGGGGCAGGAGCTGCAAGTAATGGCGCTTCCCTTGGAGAGTTTTTTTTCCCTTTGGTTTTAAATCGATTACAGTACTGTTCGGATTCTTCCCTGAGATCTGTCCATGAGAAGTGTGTCCGCTCTTGTTATTGTTGGGATATGGCCTCATGTTAGAACAGTTTTGGTGTTTCTCTTGCTTTGTTTTGAGACATAGGAAGATGCCTGGATTGACTTTTGGCGCGAGTGTGGGTTGTGTTAGTTTTCGTTAGGATTTAATAAATTAATCTTATATTCCTCTCATTCTTTCCCCTTCCCTTCTTTCCTCTTTAGCTTTTGTAGTTCTTGGAGAGTTATTAGAAATTATCACATTCAAACTGTCAGATGCTGAGACTTTTGTCCCTGGGCAGTGACTTTGTAAGGTTAATACTGTTTTGCATGACTTTGATACAGACATTTCTGAAATGATTGTGTTACAAACTTTTCTGAAGCATTTGTTGCTTCTTAAGGAAATGCAAGGTAATGATTCCAGTTATGCTGTAATCTCTATATCCTGTACTCATTTTTTCCCCACTTTTGCTTCATTTCATACTTGTTTTAAAAGAAACCATCTTCTCTCATTTGCCAACTATACTTGTTGGTTTTGTCTTTAGTAGAATAGAAGTAAGAATAACAGTTTCAGCATTCTGGCAAGTGCTTTCTGATACAAAAAAAAAAAAAAAAATTAGCCTTCAAGTCTTGAAGAAGTCTTGATGTACATTTTTAAACTTTTTCTTTCTTCCTTAAGAGTCTTGATATACAAACCACTGTGCCCCCACCTTACAGACAGTGTCTCTGTATTCAGGCTTCCTTGTATTTAGCAGTCCTCCTGCCTCATCCTCTCATGTGCTAGGATTACAGGTGTGAGTCTCCACACCTGACTTTTTTCTTTAACTGTTTAGATTTACTAATTATTTAAAAATGTTCCATATGTGAATATTAGCAGTAATAAAAATTATTGAAATGTGTTAGTGAATTGTGTTTATATTTTATTAATAAATCACATTGATGTCTGAGCTTTACTTAAGAGTTAACTTTTAAATTATGAATACAAGGATTTAAAGATTTAGCAGTAGTGCTAGGCATTGATTTCAGTTCTGCCTAATGTAGCCCAGGCTAGTGTAACAGTGTAGCTGAGGAAGACTTTAAACTACTGATACCTCTGTCTCTCACCTCCCAAGTTCTAGAATTATAAGTGTGTGCCATCATCCAGGTGAAACTTTTTTTTTTTTTTAAAATGGGGTCTTTTTGAAACCCTGTCTCAAAACAAAAAAGCATAAAAAACAAACAAACAAACAAACAAAAAAAAACCCAGGGTCTTACTACACTATACAGTAGTGAGTTCCCCTGGCTGATCTGCAATTTGCTATGTAGTCCAGATTGGCCTCAAATTCACAAGAATTTGCCTGTCTCTGCCTGCTGTGTGGTAGGATTAAAGATGTAGGCTACCATGCCTGTTCTAAATTCTTTTTTTTTTTTAAATTTAATTTTTTGTCTTTTTGAGACAGGGTTTCCCTGTGTGGCTTTTTGTCCTGGAACTCCCTCTGTAGACTAGGTTGGCCTCAGACTTACAGAGATCTGCTTGCCTTTGCCTTCCAAGTGCTGGGACCAAAGGTGTGCACCTTTATTTCATGATTTTGACAAAGCTGCATTATGTTTTTCTCAAAAAATGAGATTTTCTGCCTTATTTATTCTCTTTTAGTATTCATCTCAGTTCATTTAATGTAAATAGTACTGATCACTTGCATCTCTTTTTTTGGGTGGGGTATTGGAGAACAAGATTTTATGTAATCCAGATTATCTTCAAATGTGTAGCTCTTGCTAACCCTGAAGTGAACCTCATGCTTAACTAGTGCCAATGTGCCTGGAATTAGTTGTTTTTGTTGAGGGGAGGTTTTTTTTTTTTTTTTTTTTTTATTTTGCTTTTTTGAGACAGAGTTTCTCTGTATTGCTTTGGAGACAGTCCTGGAACTATAGTCCTGGAACTCTGTAGATCAAGCTGGCCTTGAACGCACAGAGATACTCCTGCCTCTGCCTCCTGAGTGCTGGAACTAAAGGCCTGCATCACTAATGCCCGGCTAGGGAAGATTCTTATTTTGTAGTCCTGGTTGGCCTTGAGTTTGTGTCAGCTCCTCAGCCTTAGCTTTCTGAGTGCTGAGCCACTGTGCTCAGCTTTATTTTGCACCTTTACTTCATGACACAAAGTGCATTTTGTCCTGTTTGCAGAATATATAGTTTTCTCCTCATTTATGCTGTGGTGCCTAATTTTATGTTTTATGTTTATTGTTGATATTGGGCTCATATCATACTAGCAAGTATAAAGCCAAAGATACTGCTTAGTAAAGGGTGGCTGTTTTTATCTTGGAAATATGCAAGAAGAGGTATTTATCAGTAATGGCCAAAAAACTTTTAAGGATATACACAGGGTATAGGTTTAATTGCTTACTTTACTATTTCCTATTAGAACTAAGGCATCCTCTTGGTAGCTGGTAGGAGCTCTTCCCCAAAAGTATGCTGGTGATGAGTTAAATAAATTCATTATTAGGGAAAGAACTGTCTGAGGGTTATTTCTTGACCTCTGATGCTACCCCACTGTCTGAGAATACTGAGAACTCTTATTCTGAGTTGATTACAGATTAGTGTGGTGCTTATGTTTCTAAATAGTTCCTCCACAAAATGGAGTGTACATCACTTCCTGTTCTTTCACAACTGGCTCTTTCTCTGGATTCCCTTTTAATGACTTAATTTTTGGCATTCTGATAACTGATTTGTTAGTTTGGATATTCTCATGTTTTATAAGTGGAGGAATTTCTAAGAATCAACTGGTTTAGAGGCTTTTAATGGAATACTTTTTTTTTTAAAGTATGTCATTGTGAATTCTAGCTGGCCTGGAACTCAGTAGGTAGACCAGGGTATCCTGAACTTGGTACAATTCAGCTTTTGCCGCTTGCGAACTGTGATTACAGGTATGTTCCACCAAGACTGGTTTAAGAGTGTCTTTAAAAAAAAAAAAAAAAAAAAAAAAAAAAGAGTGTGTCTGGGCGGCGGTGGGGCACACCTTTAAACCTAGCACTCAGGAGGCAGAGGCAGGTGGATCTCTGTGAGTTCGAGACTAGCCTGGTCTACAAGAGCTAGTTTCAGGACAGGCTCCAAAGCCACAGAGAAACCCCCATCTCAAAAAAACCAAAAAAAAAAAAAAAAAGTGGGTGTACTAGAGGAGGATATTGAGTGTCTTTCTTTATCACTATCTGCCTTATTCCTTTAAAACCAGGTTATCTTGGTTGCTGATGGCCAACAAGCCTCATTGAGTCTCCTCTCCGTGCCTCCCACAATTCTGAGATTACAGGTGCATATGGCCATAGCTAGATTCTTTTATATGGCTTTTGAAAATTTGAACTTTGGCTCTCATGCTTTTTACTAACTGTACCAAGAATACCGCCCCTCCCCCAAACAGAGTTTCACTGTATAGCTTTGGTTCTCCTGGAACTCAAGACATCTTTCTGTTTCTGTCTCCTGAGTGCTGGGATTGAAGGCATATACCACTACTGCCTGTACCAAAACATTGATTCTTAGCCCGGAGGTGGTGCCCACTTTTAAATCCCAGCACTTAGGGGGCAGAGGCAGGTGGATCTCTGTGAGTTCAAGGCTAGCATGGTCTATAGAGTGAGTTCCAGGACAGTTGGGACTGTTTCATAGAGAAATCTTGTTTAGAAGAAGTAAAAAACAACAAAACCCACAAAACACATTGCTTTTATTTTAAAGAATGATGTCTTAAATTTAAACTTTGATGTTTTGCTGTGCTGAGATCAAACCCTGGTCCTTGAGGATGCTAGGCAAGTATTCTTATCACTGAGTTACATGCCCATTGTCTGAAAGGTTTAAAAGAGATACCACAGTATACAGAACCAAATATAAGGGTACACGAAATAGGAAATAATTACTGTATTTTCTATAATACATAGTTTTAGAGAATTTTGGATATGTCAATTATTTCCGTCTTAATACAAGATAAGCATATCTTAGGACTAGGAATGTAAGTCAGTGATAAGTTTAAGGTCCTGGGTTCAGTCTGCAACATTATATAAACTGGGTATAGTAGAACATGGTTGTAATTCTGTCAGTGGCCTGTAATCCCAACATGGAGGTACAGGCAGAATTATTCTTGACTACAGATTAAATATGAAGCCAACCTGTCTTAAAACATATTTGTATATGGAGGATAGTGGTGTTTAGTCCCATGTTACTCCATTCTACCAATAACAGACTAATTACAGTATAGGATACTCAAAAAGTTTGATGCTTACTCTTTATAAAAATTAATTATTTCTAGGTTTTCTCTGTATAATCCTGGCTGTCCTCCTGCAACTCACTCTGTAGACCAGGCTGACTTCGAACTCACAGAGGTCCACCTGCTTCT